GGCGGGTCAAGCGACTCATTTCGGGCTTCGTGGATAGAGATTAGCTGGTCTACGAGCTTGACGATGGCTTGGGGCGTATCGATAATCTCGGGTCGAACCGTAGTCATGGCTGGTACAAGGCTTCAACTTCGATGGAACGACCATTACCCGCGAATCGGCGCTTTTAAGGGTCGCTCGTGTCTCAATCGCTTGCTCCTCCGACTACGAGTTGCGGTTTGATGCATGCTACCGCTTGATGTTTGCGACATACCCAGCACATCTCAGGTATTTGCGCCTTCCGGTTTGGTGTTGAGCTGTGAGTGGTCGACCCAGCCTAGCAGCCAAGATGAACCACAGGACGACTACCCGACTTCAGCATCCCGATTACACGCTCATCGATGCGTCCCTAGCTCTTGATCCCCATGCCTATGCCTTCCTTCCTCCTACATCACCGCACCTGTGTTGTTCCCTTCCAGCCGCCTCATCAACACACAACTAACACCGCCATACCACCATGTCAACCACAAGCATCTCGTCGTCACTGCCCGAGCCAAAGTGCGACCCAGCTGATGCGCAACCGCTCGACCCCCAGAATGTACGAGTTTTCGCGCCCGCACCTTCCACCCACCCAACACTGACCCACCAGTCGCGATACCACATCCCACGCGTATCGCGCAGCCTGCACGCATCACTAATAGCCACCTACAACTGTCTCTCCAAACTCTCGTCCCGCAACAACATCAAGCAAACGGGGAAGCCCTCCGGCTTTCGAAACCAAATGCGCAGACCGTGGAGCAGACAAAAGGACGCACTACCGCTCTGCCCGGACTGCGGCGCCATGACGTTCGCCGAATGGGAGAAAAGGAGCTGCCTGAGTTCGTTCGAAATACACCGACATCGAGATCAAACACTGTCGTAAAAAGCAGTATAGTGAAGACATACAAGGGGCAGATGGAGACGTGTGAGGCGCCGAAGTTCCAGGAAAGGCGCATTCTGTGTAGAGCGTCGTCACAAGCTGTGCGCTCTCGAAGACGTCAGCCAACGCGCTGTGATACAACGGCATCTCGATGAGAATGAAGGGCCACAGAACGAAGACCATGTCCGCCACATTGTATGTCGGCATTGGAAAGATCGCGCCAATTACACTCGCCGCTCATTTGGCCCGTTCGACTCCGAAGATAAAGCCATCCACCGCCGCTCGGAGACATACAGGCAGCGAAGACAAGAGGTCCGGCGTCCGGCAAGATAGCATGAGAACAATGAAGAAGATAGCGTGTTGAAAGCGTCGGGGAAGCAAAGAGTATCCCACGCGCTCGTCTCCTTGCCAGGTCACCGGTCCGACCCCACATGCTCGCTTCCCCGCACTTCTATTCGCAACCCACGCGCATGGATACGACGGCATCCAAGATTGCCATGTGGAATCAGCATATATGTTACAGAGCTCTTGGCATCATTGGGATAGTCTTGAGCTCCCCAGAGCGATAAGACGTCGATTCGAACAAACAGGCCGCCTGGTTCCTTTACTTACAAAGCGTAGTCTTTATAGTGTCTTCAGACTTCACTCACACCCGAAAGCAATACCAACGTTCAGTTTGATAAGATGCTTCAAGTTATTGCAACTCTCGTGTACTTCGCACTTGTCGGCTTGACCGCAGACTACATCCACATACTATGGCGTCGCCGTAATCTCCCCCCAGGCCCATTCCCATTTCTCATTGTCGGAAACCATTTCCAAACGCCATCGTACAAGCCATGGATTACATGGGAGAAGTGGGCTCAACGTTACGATTCACCCATGATAACTCTTTGGATCGGGCGGCAACCCCGCATCATATTGAGCGATGCGTGGGTCGCGAGTGACTTGCTAGAGAAAAGGTCAGACATCTTCTCGAGCAGACCAAGAATCATCGCCATGGGCGACGCAATCAATGCGACAACCACGAATCAGACTACATTGCCGTACGGGGATCGATGGAGGAAACATCGGAAGCTGATGGTATGTGAATTTGACTCGTCCCGGCTGCTGTAAAGCAAGCTGATAGCGTAGCACATGGCCGTCGGCTCTCAAGCGGTACGCAGATATCGCACGTTCCAAGCGCATGAGTCTGCGATTTTGATCCGCGACTTCCTCCTCGAGCCGCACGACTTCGAGCTGTCCATCGAGCGCTACTCCGTCTCCATCACATCGATTGTTGGCTGGGGTCGACGCATCGATTGCAAGAATGACTACGTTGCCCAACAAGCTCTCAAACTGATGGAAGCCGTCAACTATATCGTTCCCGGTATCTATCTCATGGAAGCCCTTCCATTTCTGATCCACTTGCCTGCTTGGCTGTACGCACTACCGAGCCAGATGCGACTGGGTGCTGGTATACTGTCGCGCTACTTCTATCTGCTCACACAGGAAGGCGCTGAAGCGAAGGAAGACAACTTTGGGAAACATGTCATGGCGTCTCAGCAAGCCAGCCATATGACAGATCTTGAGGTTGCGAGCCTGATGGGCAATTTGATTGGTGGTGGGGTAGACACGACCAGCAGCACTATGCTTTCGTGTATCCTGGCCATGGCGCGCTTCCCGGAAATACAAGCGAAAGCACATGCCGAGTTTGATGCAGCCGTCGGTTATGGTCGCTCTCCGAACTGGGATGACATCGACTCGAATGCGCTGCCATACTTGACTGCAATAGTACGTTGCAAAGATGACAAACGCCAGGTTCAAGCTGACACGTACCAGGTCAAAGAAACCCTCCGATGGAGAACCGTGACCATACTCGCAGGCATCCCTCATGCCAATACCGTCGACTTCGATTACAAAGGCTACTCCTTCCCAGCTGGCACCAACTTCACCAGCAACATGTGGGCGATCCACAGACATCCGCGCGACTTTCCCGATCCAGACCGATTCGTGCCTGAGAGGTTCCTCGAAGGCGAAAACAGTGCGAAACAGCCATATCCGAACAAGTATGGCATGAATCCTTTCGGTTGGGGACGCAGACAATGTAGTGGCCAGCCGCTTGCCGAGCAAGGTCTGCTTTACTCTCTTGCGCGGATGATCTGGGCTTTTGATATCTTGCCAGGCCTTCACGAGAATGTAAGTCTCCTTTGAAACGTTCACCTAAACTGTCAACGTTTGCGCCACTAACACACTGCGACAGAATCAGGAAGTTGATTTAGATATCTTCGCCTACACCGACAGCGAGAACATGCGGCCGGAGCCTTTCCATGTGCGATTCCTCCCACGCTCCGACGCGATCAGGAAGCTACTCTTGGACGAGGCTGTAGAGGCACGTGAGGCGTTGAGACCCTACGATGGAGAGACTAGAGTGACGATGGAGGATGCTGTGAACAACCCAGCGAGGACTTGACGGTGCAATGATATTGCGGAGATCGACGCCCTATACATAACTGCCATGAGACACTTTTTCATACTGCACTGGTAAGCCTGGGTTGTGAATGAATTATGCCATTGTGAACTCCGTTCCGGTAAACCGTTCTTTGCACCCGAAATTTAACTTCAGACAGCCGTCGAATACTCATTTCCCAGTAGTTATCGCAAGAAGGTTCGCGATATGCTCTCAGTCAAAAAATCATTCCAGGAGATGTCGCAATGGCCTCGAGCTGACGTTGTGAATGTAATGTGGGAAACTATGTCGCGTTCGGGATGTGGGGGCAGAACGCTACCTAGGTAGGACCCTGCAGGCTCGCCTCCCTGGGCGCGAGGGCGGCACCTGGCCAGCGTCCTTCACACACACACACACACACCCAACGAGCGCTAAACGCGAGCCCAGATCTCGACGCGACTTTTACCACAGCGAAGCATCGCGCATTTGGGTCCGCCATCGGTAAATGGTTCCCATCGTAGCTCTTCGCATCCGGCAGCCTCGCAGGTCGTGGCGCGGACACGATTCTCCTCGACACGAACATGCGTCACCGACCGGGATACAATGGTGGATGAAGTCAATTGGCATGAAGCGCAAGAGCTGTATGTGGACGGACACAAAGCGCAAGACAGACATACAGGAGTCTGGGGAACGCTATACCGCATGAGGCTTCGTCGCGGCGGCTTCACCACGGATGAACTGGACATACAGAGGGTACGACAGTGGACTTCGCAATCATCCCGTGGGCCTCGACGCACGCCTTGGATTGAACTGCATCTAGCTTTGATGTTAGCAGTGACTAGGATGGACGAGAAGCGATACAACGCGTCTATCCTCCGGTCTCGTCGCTGTGTACCATGCATGCGCTTCTCGCTCGAGGTATCTTCGTACACTATGTCCTCGGGATGAATCCATGGTCGATAGATCTCATACCCCAGCCTTTCGGGCGTTGGTCTAGCCCCAGCTGTCTCTTTCCCCGCTCCCGTGCTGACGTGCAGTGGCGTTGCTTATGCATCACTTGCGAGGCATCCCTAATGGATCAAGTACAATGTAGGGCTTTTGGAGACTTACCTCTTTGAATATACGGTCGCGTACCTTGTCGCAGCGATGCGCATTACATAAGTAGGCGTCGCACGCATGCCTGCTTTCGCAACGACACTCGTCTCTCACTGCGCTAGGATGAAGACGTACACGAGATTTCTCGTCGCCTTGACCTGGACGACTTCCTTTTCCGCCTGTGTCCACGGGTGGCCAACGCATGACGAGATCGTCCGGTTCATCCAGGAACGCGCCACCGCTGGTATTCACAACGTACCTGCAGACCACATCGCAACGCAACTGACCCTCCGCATCCAGACTCTATCAACCTCGACGCAATACCTGGCTTCAACCTCAGTTCCGCTCTTGACAGCATCGCGTCAACATACCTCGATGGCCAGGCGCAAGAAGTGCCACAGCGCAATAGCTCAAATGCCACCACCATCATCGATGTTCATGGTACGACTTTCCTTCTCCACCATGTGGTAAACGACCTAATGAAGCTTCATAGCGCATTGCGTCCCTGACTGGTATCGCGCAATCGCACCAACAGCCGGCGGGAACCCGACACCGTTTTGGAACGTCAGTGGGCATCTCAACTTCATGGCGAGCCAAGGCATCTCGCATGCAGTCGTGGCCTTTTCCTCGCCCGGCGCAAACGTGTATCCTGGGTATCGAGACGCGACCATCGCGCTTGCTCGCCTAATCAATGAGCAGTCCGCAGCCTATGCGCGAGTCTACCCCAAGCACTTCTCGTTCTACGCCGTCGTGCCACTCCCATACACTCAAGACGCCATTGCTGAAGCCATCTTCGCACTCAACACGCTTGGAGCCGCCGGCATTGCGCTTTACTCCAACTTCGAAGGTCGATACCTTGGCGACTCTGCCTTCACGCCCTTCTTTCAAGCTATGAATGCGCGCGGGGCCGACCAGATCATATACGTGCATCCCACGACGCCGTACCTGCGCGTGAACGGCTCACTAGTCGAGGCGAACCCAACGACGTACCCAACAGGCAATATCGAGTTTTACTTCGAAACAGCGCGCGTACTCCAAGACCTCGCCGTCACGCAGACCATTCTCAACTTCACGAACATCAACTACATCATACCGCACGTCGGCGGCGCATTCCCGTCTGTCGCGGACCGCATGTTGAAGTCGTTCCCCGCGATCTACGACCATACCCTGGCCGCTTTGCAGACGCGCTTCTACTGGGATTCCGCGGGCCCGACGTACTTCCACCAAGTTGGTGGTCTTCTCGCGTACGACATACCGGCGTCGCAGCTCTTGTTCGGTACGGATTACCCGTACGCGCCGATCTTCACGTATGCGCCTTCGCTACTAGGTATCAAAACGTCGCGTTTTGTGGACGACTTAGAGCGTCTTAGTATCTTCTTTCGCAACGCGCAAAGGCTTTTTCGCGATCGGATTATAGTGTAGATATATTATAGCCTACCTACTCTAGAGAACGTGCTTAGAGCTACTAGCTCTAGGCGATTTTTAGTAGTACTAATAAGAACTAAGAACTAACTTTATTAGGTTTATAACTTTTGCTATTAAATTCTATAAAATTTAGTCTATATATATAAATATTTTAGTACTAGTCTTATAGCTTAAGCTAACTCTAAAAGTCTATTTAACTTTATAAGCTAACTTTAAAAGTTTATTTAACTTTATAAGCTAACTCTAAAAGTATATTTAATACTATAAGCTAACTTTAAAAGTATATTTAACTCTATAAGTATACTTAGAAAGTATACTCTATAGTATAAGCTAACTCTAAAAGTTTATAAGTAGTATAAGTTAACTTTAGAAGTACGCTTAATAGCGTAAGCTAACTTTAGAAGTATACTTAATACTATAAGCTAACTTTAGAAGTATACTTAATACTATAAGTATTATAACTTCTAAGCTTATTTTCTACTACTTTATATATAAAAACTATATATTATAATCTAATCTAAAGAGTACTCTAACTATATTAGAATTCTAACTTCTATATCTAAAGACTATAAAAACTAGTTAAAGTGTTTATTTTATACTAGATCTAAAATAGTATAGTATATAGTAAAAGACTCTACTTTACTAGTAAAAGACTTCTAAATTATAGTATTAGGCTATATAATAATATTATAATAAGCTACTAAAAGACTCTAAATAATACTATATAGTATAAAGCTTTAGTAAAAGGCTTCTATATTTTAGTAAAAGATAAGTAGAATATACTAAAAGACTATACTAAAAAACTATATTAAAAGGCTATATTAGAAAACTACTATATCTAAGTAAAAGGCGCTTAAGGTATAGCTACGCTATATAATAAAGAATATAATAGTAACTAATAATCTAATAGTTTATCTAAAAAAGTACTAGTAAAAGACTTATTATATATAAGTTTTCTTCTATATAATATAGTAAATCTCTTTTCTATCTAAGAAGCTAGATATATAATATTACGCCTAGTTTATTCTATTCTAGAGATATATAAAATAGCTATTTTATATCTATTATCTTTTATCTTAGATAACTCTAGGCTTAGATAGTCTAATCTATTTACTTAAATAAAAGCTTAGAGTCTAAGTTAGATTTATTCTACTTCTATAGTTCTATATACTATAATATATTATTACTAGTAATACTAGTCTTATTAGTATTATCTATTTCTCTCTAGGTCTAAGAGATAGAGCCTATAGTATACTTTTTTAAAATTATATAATTACGTAATTATATAATTACGTAATAATATATTACTATATTAGACTCTAAATTTAAACTTAAAAATCTCTAATATAAGCCTAGATTTATAACTTATAATACTTATAACTATACTACTAATATAATAATTACTACGCGTGTAATTATAATACGCTAACTACTTTATATTTATAATATAATACTAATAGCTATTTAGATTATTAACTAGTAGTATTAAAGCACGCCTTACGTAACTACTAATACTAAAAAGTAATCTAGTAAGTCTATTAGTATTAGATACGTAGACTTTAAGTTAAAGTCTACTATAAGTAGTTTATACTACTCTAGTTTTTAGTGCTTACTTAGGTTAAAGTCTATAAGATTCTCTAGATAATATCTAGATTAAAGTTCTAAACTTTAATTATCTTATAGGTATTCTATAACTACTAATTCTTTTAACTTTATATAAAGTAGATATACTTTTATATAAGTAATAATATACTTATATATTCTATATAATTCTAACTATAGAGTAAGATATCTACTAGCCTATAGTTAGAGTGCACGTAGGTACTAAGAACTATTTACTTCTTATCTAGATATAAAACCTTTACTATCTAACTCTAATATTAAACTTTACTATCTAGGCTAGATATAAAACCTTTCTACCTCTATATAATATATATCTTTAGTATCTATACCTAACGTAAATCTATTGTATTTATTTAAGTAATAAAATCTTTATCTTAAATATTACTATATCTAAGTATAAACCTATTATAAAATTTATTACTTTAGTCTTTCTATTCTACGTGTGTAATAAGTAGGCTAGAGTCTATAATAAGATATAATATATTATATATATATAATAGTAGTATATTACGTAGAGAGTATATTAGAATAGATAGATTTAGTCTATGTTAGATTGTTTTATGTATAAAGGTTCTTATAGAAGATAGAAGATATACTAGAATATAACTACTATATATATAAAAGAAAGTCTATATTACGTAAGTATAATATATATTCTAGAATAGAGTTATTATTTCTCTATTCTAGCTACTATATACTAAAGCTTATTAATTATTCTCTACCTTACTATTAATAGTAAGTATACTATTAGTATCTAAATTAGCGTAGTTAACTTTAGTAGTATTATTAGCGTTAATAATAGTTCTATAGCTTTTAGTAACCTTATAGAGTATACTCTTACTTACTTTAATATAACTATAGAGTTAAGCTACTTCTACTTTAGCTATATTAACTTTATCTAAGACTTTAGCTATCTTTAGTCTTTTTATTATAATATTACTTTATAACGCTACTACTACCTTCTCTAAGTAGACTATTTCTACTTAAGTATAATATAACTCTTTTTAATCTATATATAGCTTTTCTACTAAGCCTTTTATACGCTTAAACTCTACTTTAATTTCTATAGAAATGTACTTAAAGCTTAATATTCTATAGTAGGTATATACTAACTTCTTACTATTCTAAACTAAAGTAGAGGTAGTAACGCGTTTTAATAACTACGTAGAGAAGAATAATTAGCGTAGAGTATAAACGTAGATAATATTCTTAATAGATACGTCTTTTAATAGCGTAGTAGTACGTATAGTATATTTATACTTAGCTAAGGTAAAACTATCTAGTAGCTTTCTCTTACTTTAGAGAGGCTTTACTATACCTATAGCTCTAGTTCTAGACGCTATATCTATTTAGTTATAGTAGACTAGAATATTAGTAAATATTACTAGCGTAGAGCTTTATTACTTATAAGATAATTATAAGTATATAATAATAGAAAAAGATATAGTAAATATAATATAGAAAGAAACTAGAATAAGAGATATATTACTATAACTAAGTTTAGCTCTCTATATAATAGTATATAACGCTAATATTAGAGATTACACTAAACGTGTTTAAACTTAGTATAACGTAAAACTATTATATTTACTTATACTCTAAAAATAATATATCTTTACTTAAATACCTTTTCTCTACTATATCTCTAGACTCTATAGTATCTACTAGACGCTATCTAACCTAAATATATCTATAACTATTATTTAGATTATAAAACTAAAGTAGAAACTATAAACTCTCTAGATTATTATAAATATAGTTCTATTTCTTTATATCTTTAAACGTAAACTATTCTAATAGTAGAAAGTATTCTTCTATTAGTATTATTATTATATTTTTAATTATATCTAATAGTAGTACTACGTGTTTATTATACGTAATAATAAGATTATACTACTTTAGAAATATTACCTTCTATAGGCTCTTAACCTAACTATTCTTAACTCTCTCTAGTAATAGCGTAAAAGCGCTAACTTTAAATAATATTTTAAAATAGCTCTACCTTTTTCTATATATTATAACTTTATTAAACTTTATCTATTCTCTTTTATATATCTACCTCTCTATATTCTAACTATATAGTACTTTTAGTAGGTATGTTTTTGCAAATATTATAACTCTCTATTCTAGTCTCTCTCTACTACTTTTATTCTAGTACTCTTTAATAATATATTCTATTTCTAACCTATCTTTATAAAGCTTAGTATATTTAATATAATATTAAATAGTTATATATAACTTTACACTCTTTATAAGTATTACTTTATTATATTTTTTCTTATATACTCTCTAAGATTATATATTAAGGCTATAGATAGAAACTATATTATTATACGCTAGTAATATAGTGTTATTACTCTACATTATAATCTATAGTAGCTCTAGTCTCTTAGTAGCTTACTACTACTAAATCTTTATTAGTGCTAACTAGTTCTAGAATACTTCTTTTAAGATAACGCTGCGCCTAGTATAAATTAAATTCTCTACTATAGCTAGGCCTATTTTTCTCTATCTTTCTATATACTCTTAGTACGTAAGCTACTCTTTATTTATTCTAACTCTTATATTAGAGTTATTTAGTAGCTTTTAGGTAGAAGTCTAGTACTTCTTCTAGTGCTTTAATTTCTTAACTTAGTGTCTCTCTATTACCTATTTTATACTACTATCTAAGCTCTTTCTCTAGTGTTATTATTTCTTTAGCTAGATTATTATTTTATCTACTATATTCTTAGCTACCTCTAATATTATATTATCTATAAAAGTAGTACTATTTATATCTACTTTTATTTTACTCTCTCTAACTTTAGCTTTATTCTAAACTAATATTAAAAGTACTAGTATTACGCCTATAAGTGTAAGTGCGTTATACTTATTAGAAATCTATAACACTAGATTCTTCTACGTAATACGCTTATATATCTATACTATAGTATAGAATAGTAACTAAGATATTAATAACTTCTAAGAAGCGCTACTATTATAAAACTCTAACTAGTAAGTATTAGTATACTTTTTCTTTAGAAATATGTTATTTACTATAGTAGTAGATTTATAAATACTATTATTCTAGCTATCTTAGTACTTACTAGACGTAGTAATAGGTAGAAGTATAAGTATACTTATAGAAATAGAATATTTATATTATATACTAGCGCCTACTAGCCTATAACTTTTTTTTTATATCTAGTAATAATAGAATTATACTAATTATTAACCTATACGTGCTAATTTAGTACTTATATTAGACTAGTACGCGCTATCTTACGCTACTAATTACTAGCGCAGCTACTTAACCTAAGTTTTAGACTATAACACTAAAGTTATACTATTTTTAAATATATAACTTCTATAGTTATAAAGTCTAGAACTATTTA